ATGTAACCCTTTCATATGTATAGTACAGTATATATATATACAGTATATATATACTGTATATACAAAATAATTTTGTCAGATTATTCGATCAAATTATTCAACATTTCCAAGAATTGCCAGTGGACCATTATTGTTCCGCGTGAATGCAACGGTGGTCTACAGACTGACCTAATCATTTTTCCAAAATGCAATGTTATGCTGTTCAGTTAATGGAAAGAGCATTTTTATGCATCATGTTACATTAGGTTACAGGACAGACAAAATATTATGGCACACATGTAAGGTGATGATTACAGGATAAGAAATGGATGAGAGCATAGATCGTCCGCGCTTCTTCTGTGACTCTGTTTAGTAGTCCGTCGATCGAAAAGATGGAAACTGCCGATAAAACAATGGATTTTCCATTCTTTTATAATTTTCGAATATGCCAGATTAAACTTACAATTAGTTTTTCCTCAGATTGATTAAAGTCATTTTAAAAAACAAATTATTACTAGTTTGTACTGGGAATTGTGATAAATAAACTAAAGGAATTTTTATTTAATTTATTGGAACTTTTAAAAAAGACGCAACTAATAATTTTTCAAAATAATCATTAATATATAATTTTATAAAACCAGGATTTATTTTCGTAACAAACAAATGAATTTTATTAAATCATTTTACAATAAGATTTAATTTTCTTTCTATAATTTAATTAAATAACAGCTTAAACAATTACTATTCAAAATAAATGAATTGTATTATTAAATTTATTTAAAATAAAAAATACACCCAATGAAAATTATCATCTTAACAAGAAGATTCTTGTATTTTCTAACTTACTGATTTTTATAATTAAAATCAATGCAAATATATTTAATATGAAATAAAAATCATTACTATTTTATTCACATTAAACTTTATAACAATTTTTATAAAAATATATACTATAAAAATAATATAAAATTTTATTAGTTAATGTTAGAATTTTGGTATTTGGTTTGTAATTTAAAAACTTCACATTTCAGCTGGTTTCTGATAGCATAGAATGAATTAATTCAAGATATAATTTTGATTCTGTTGAACAAAGATGCTTTCTATTGATCTGTTGTTTGGCATTTTCAATCAGAATATTTTTTAGAGAATGATCATTCATCAACTCTTCTGCAGCATTTAAAAATTCCTAAATGTCCATAAATATATAATAATAATATTAGTAAGTAGAATTGCAGAAACATTTAATTATAGCAATGATTATTATAGACAACACAAAATGTAATTTGTTTACAGCATTATACTCATTAAATAAATGTTAATATTAATTACAATTAAATTGTAAAATAATATTAATACAATTTATATATATATAATGCACCACAAATAAAATACTTTGTATATAACAACTTTTTATATAACAAATGTATCTATTAGGCTTTATATTGTACAGCCAAATAAAATTTAAGAGCAATTATGGATATAAAAATTTTTACAAATTTTGGAATTTCAACAAAATATAGGTCCTAAAATTTTATTTACTGTATTTACTCAAATATAAGACGATCTCGCATATAGGATGAGGTGTGACTTTAAAGACCAAAATAAAGAAAATTAGATTTATTAATACAATTCTAATTTTATTTCATTTAATAACAAATAAAATATCAAATGCATGTAAATGCACACATTGTCCCACAAAAATTACTGGCATTTTAAACTTTAAGGAAAAATCTTGTAAAATCGACTACATAATTTGTTCATATGAAGCTGGACAATCGGGAACCTTTTTTGGCCAATTCTTAACAGTCGAATCCACTCTTCGTCGATTACACTGATGAGTTTCTTCAAATTCTGATTTCCAAATACAGTTGTCCTTCTATAGTCCGACGTTTTTAAATCCGACATGCTCAGTAGTCCGACGCACCTCCCGTCAAGGTACCGTCCCCGTTACGTGTCTGCTTGCACAGAAGCATGTCGCGATGTGAATCTCCCCATCCAATTCTTACTCGATGACACACATTTTGTGTGTTTTATGTGAGCAGTTCTGTTCGAACAGTTGGAGTAGAGAATATTGTAAGTTACTGCTAGCAAAACAATACGAAATATGTAATTATTTTCGGTAATCCGGACACTTTTGGTAATCTGACACACCTTTGGTCCTATACCTGTCGGATTATCAAGGGACAACTGTAATCATCTTTTTTCACATGGGAATGAATTAAAACTTATATTGGGCTCCCGTGTATTTTTAGAATTCAATTCAAAACCTTTGCTTTTCCTATTGCTATTCATATTTACTCCAGATAATACACAAGAATGATTCAAATGACCCAGATAAAATACTTTTGTTTTTAAACACAAGAATGGAAGAATCTGGAAAAAATGCGAATACACAGTTTACAAAAATTATATAAAAATGAAAATAATCCTTCGCTTGCACGTGTAGGATGACCTAGGTTTTTGAAACAGTGAAAAATAGATAAAATCCTCTTCTTATATGTAAGTAAATACGGTATTATGAAAATATTTATTAAACATTATCTTCTTAAATTTTAAAATTAAAATGTTAAACATTTTATAGTTTTAATGTTATTACCAAAAAATATACATAAATGTGTAGAAAAAGAGAATTTTTAGAGAAATTTTTTAATCATTAATAAAGGTTGTGGATAACGAAAAATGTTTATCACAAAGATTTTCACATGCTGTCTCAAAATCTTGAGATGTTCAAAAGAATACTAATGACAGATTATTATTGTAAACAAGTGTATGTTTTATTGATCTGTAGCAACTTTAATAATTTAAAACTTCAATTTAAAACTTAATGTATACAGTGAATGGATGAAAAATGACATTAAAAAAATATTTAGATTTGACTGGCAATCACAGATACATCATTCTTCATTGCCACATACTTTTTAATAGAATGTAATGAGCATAATACTAAAAATCAATTTCTTAATCTTCTTATTAAATTTATAACTTGTATATATTACAAATTTCATTAATCTTTCCATTCAGCTCAACATTTACAAAAATTTGTATTTGATATTAAGTAAACAATACCTTTGGTGTTTTATATAATAAACCGGTAACTCGATCTTCAATTAAATCTCTATTTCCTGGAATATCTCTAGCAATAACTGGAACATAAAGATCCATTGCCTAAAACATGTATATCATTATTTGATACTTATATTAAAATTTCAAATTAAATTTTAAAATGTTTTAAATCAAATTACACTAAATTATTTAATAATATCTAGAAGAAATTTAATAAATTATTTTTAAAATTTATGATTCAAAGTGATAATTTTCATTTGACTACCTCCAAAATAGATGAGCACATTCCTTCACTTTGGGAGCAATTGATAACAGCAAAACTATCTCTCATTGTTGCATGCACATCATGTTGTGGTAATTGTGGTAACAGCAAAATGCCTCTTGCTCTAGAAAATTAGCAAATAAACTTTACTTAATAATACTACTACAATACTTTGCTTTTCAAAAAAGAAAAATTCCTTTATTAGATAATAGTATTATCTACTAAATAAAATCAATTTGTTGGCATGAGTTGAAAATCTGTCAACATGGATGGTACTAGCCTACTAGGATGATGAGTTGGTACCAATTCTAAACTTTGTCCACGTGTTCACCCAACCTGAAATAATTATTCAAGTTTACCTATACTGACTATTATTGGAGAATTTCTTTAAATATGAATTGATTAATTATATGTTTAGATGTATCATTTTAGAGAAATAATTAATTTAAATTTTATTTATTGGCTTCTAAGAGATGTTCAAGTGGATTGATATCATCCCAGTAAATGAGGCCATTATGCAATTCTCTGCAGGTATTGTGAATTTGATGATGGGTAAGCCATTTGATCATCTCAGTTTTTTGAGCCTGGATGAAAGCAATTCAGAAAGTTTCAATGTGTTGAATGAACATCAGAAACTAAAAGATTTCATTCAACACATTGAAAACTTTCTGAATTGCTTTCATCCAGGCTAAAGAAAAAATAAAAGACAATCAAATAATTTATTAAGTATCAAACTTGTAATACCTGCAGATAATTATATAATGGCCTCATTTTCTGGGATAGTATCAACCCACTTGAACATCACTTATAAACCAGTAAGTATGGACTTATATATGCTCCCCCACATCACACCATAAACCTTGAAATTTTATTTTCAGAGTAAAATAAAAAGCTATTGTATATATGTATGTATGATTAGCATTTACAAAAGCATTTATGGAAAACATTTATGGAAATTCTTACAAAAAGCATTATGGAATACTCATATAATAATTATTCCAGAATCTCCAAAGATCTGTGGACTTAATCACATCTGCATATACTATATTTATACTTAATTTTTATGAATTTATACTTAACATAAATCATTAACATACAACTTACATATCTATAAAACATAATCACACAATGTTAAATAATGTTTAAGACTAGTATTAAATAAAATTATCTTTTGGTATAACCAGTTATCAATATACATTTTAAAACAAATTCAAATGTAAAAAAGAAAAAAATAAAAGTTAAATTACTCAATGCTTTTAAGTACAATTACTATTTTCAATACAGTAATACCCTGAACTTACATGATAGGTAAGACCGAGCGATAACCACGTAAGTCGAATTCGCGTAAGTCGGGGTATAATTTTGCATATAAATACATACAAATAACACAAAATAAATTGTAGCTATATGTCGAACACGTCCGAACATGTAAGCCGAATAATAGTGTGGGGGGAATGAGTAATTAAGAGTTGCGTGGCGCTCAAACAAAAGACGAATCGACGAGATTTGAAAATTGCGTAACTCTGGATTCGCGTAAGTCAGGGTAGCGTAAGTCGGGGTATTACTGTAGTTCTAAAATAAACATAGACAAATTCTAAAACTGATTACACAGAGAAGAATACCATCATTATAAAACTCCTGAAGATGAGAATTTGTACTCATTTGAGTACTTTAAATATCTGCAGCATAGACAACCTCAATATAGATAAAAGGTACCCCTACTGTTGTTCATTTTGAGCCATCTGTATATATGAATATCGTATGGCTATATTGAGATTGGTGTTCTCTGAATAGTTGTTGGTATATAGAATTTGTTGTAGTTTCTTTTGAGTAGCTCTAAGTCAAATGAATATCTGTTGCTGTATAGAGCCATGGGGGGGTGTTGAGAATCAAGGGACAATGGATGTACAGATGGAAGATTTTATAGCGAGGTTCTGGCCAAAGTTTTTACAATGAGAAAACATAAATGTTGGACATTCAGCGCAACCTTCCTGTAAGCCTAGAAGTATGACAATAGTGTTTGGAACATCAAGCATGATTCCACTGACATTCCAAACACCATTGTCATACTTCTAGGCTTACAGGAAGATGGTGCTGAATATCCAACATTTATGTTTTCTCATTGAAAACTTCGGCCACAACCTCGCTATTGCTTGTAAGTTGGTATGCAAACGTTTAGAAATTGGAGGTTTGTACTAGGGTTGCTTATGAATGAAAGCTTCTGAAATTGATGGGATTGTTAGCTGATGTAAGAGGGATACCTGATGGGTTTGGAGTTTCAAATATAACTGTAATGAAAGATGCAATCTTTGCAGAGATAGAAGTAGTTCCATTGATTCTGTCTATAAGTTTGATATTGGTATGGTTTGAAACAGTCCTATGAACAGGCATATTCCTGTATGGTGAATTGGATCAAGCAGGTGTGATCTTGATGGACTTGCAGATCCATGTACTGCACTTCCATTGTCTAGTTATTCCAGTATAAGTGCCTGATAGATTTTCTGCATGGTTTTCCTGTTGGTTTCCCAAGAAGGTATTGTATCATGTTTTTAATATATTCATTGCACATGTATGTACACCAGCCCTTTACATGGGTAATATAAGGTTTAAATGTAAGAGACTTGTCTAAGATAATATCAAAGAATTTGGTTCTGTTTGGACTTTTATTTGTATATCTCTAAGCCTGATTGATCAGGATGTAGTCTTTTGATTCTACAGATATGTATGCAAATAGTTTTTCTTGTTGAGAATAAAACCATTTGACTGTGCCACTTCCAATTTTCAAAAGTCTCTGGTCTGCTAATAGTGAGGTCTATAGTTGACAAGGTGTGGTTTGGATAGTGAAAATGAGTAGGGATGCCAGTGTTGTACAGGCAGAGAGTGTGTAATCCAGAAGTGTTTTGATAATTTGTCCTCTATGGTCAGCTTGTCCTCTATAGTTTTTATCCCAGCTTGAACTGTGACTGTTAGTCTCCCAGCAGTATCCAGGGTTTTGGGAGTTGGTTTATGAGTAATTCTAACTTGTAAGTCAGTCTGTTTTACTGTTTTACTGTCTCTTGACAGAAGATATATTTTTCCCACTGTTATTAGTTTCTGATGATGAATTTGGACTGCCACAGCCTGGAAAAATGAGAACAAAGGAACTTGGTGTGGGACCAGAATTGTCACTCTGCCACAAGAATTTTGTGTGGAATGGTGGTCTTTGCAAAAAGCACTGTAATGTTTGAACTTAAGATTGTCAATTGTTTAGCCTTTGTTTCCCATAGGCATAATACAGATTTATGGCCCAATTTGTATGTCTTGGAGTTCATCAGTTTTGTATCATATCCCTGGACAATTTCATTGAAGTATTACCATGTGCATATTCAGAGAGGTCAAGTAAGTTGTGAGAATAGCATTTCTTGCTGAGTAGGTTTATTTACTGTTTTTGTCTTTTTGAGATGTGTTTATGTTGTTTCATGGTTGCTGTTTGTTTGCTGTCCTGGTTATGGATTTTGTTTTTTGTTTTCAAAGAAGTTGGTGTTGGATAGGATGGCAGGACAGATGTTTTGTATTCAATGTTTTCCATTTTGTTGCTGAGACTAGTCAGTTTTGTTAACTGTATAGCATGTTGAGACTGGATGATTAAATCTGCAACAGACACTGTTATAACTAACAATAAACTTTAATTTACACAAAAGAAGGAACACTACAACTTCACACACTTGAAGAGAACGAAAAAGGCGGGAAAAAGACAAAGAAGTAGAGGGAGCTCACAACAAATCGATTGGTGTTGCCACCTATAGACAGATCATGAAAATGTAGAAAATTTATTTTTCCAACATAGCAGATGTGCTTTTTGTTGCCACATTCTTCTGTAAGGTTTTGGTAGATTTCATAGGAGATATGCTGATTTTGGTTTGAACTTCCTGTGAAATTTTCTGCAAGAGCTTATTAGCATATGTGGGTTTAGTAGGACATATCTCCACTTTGCTTCTATATAAATAGTTCATTCTATCACTTGTATGTGCAAGCAGTGCTGGCCCGAGGCAAGTTTTAGGGCGCCATAACAGGATCTTGCTGATCATATTATGGCGCCCAGGGGTGACTATGCACTCGATCCACACTATCTCAACAGATAAGGCCATTCACATACTGGCCACACACTTGCAATTAAAATATCGAAAAGTGAAAAAAATATTTTTTCCTTTAATTTTCTGTACCACTGAGGTGCCCGCTAGGACTTAGCACCTGGAGCGGCTGTTCCGTTCGCCCTATGGCAGGACCAGCTCTGAGTGCAGGACTTCTTTTTCTGCTGTCCATTTTTGGGCATCTTGTGGAGGATGCTGTATGATCTCCCCCACAGTTTAGACACACAGATGGATTTGGACAGCTACTTTTACTGTGAGGAACAAACTTGTGGTTATTCCCCACAGTTTGGACATTGTATTTTGCTTTGACAGTTGTATTTGGTGTGTCCATAAGCCTAGTAGTTATAAAATAAAAGAGGGTTCAGGATATATGGTTGGACTCACAATTTAAGTATCCTATTTTGATATCTACAGAAAAGTTAGATGTGTTGAAGGTTATAATTAAATGCTGTGTAAGAATCACTTCCTTGTTTCATGTTTAGTTGATCCTTTTGACTGCTAAAATTCCCTGGCTTGCCAGATTGTCTAAAATTTCTTCCATTGTGCAAATCAGAAGGATTGTACTAAATATTATTCCTCTGGAGTAATTTAGATATCTATGTGGAGTTACTGTGACTAGCATTCCTATGAAATTGGTTATTGCTTGGAACTTTTTACTATGTTGGCTGTTTTCAGTCTTTATGAGTAGATCTCTTGATCAAAGTTTTTGTACCATTTTTGGTGGTCCAGCTATTTGGCTGAGGGTCCTGCAAATGGTAAAGGGAGATAACTCAGATAATTTCTTTTCCACCTTCTGTGAATGGATGATCAGGTATTAAGAGCTAATGTAGTCAGATTGTTTTGGACTATATTCACTTCTCACCCAGGACTTCGAAGCAAGTATAGTCTGCAACAGAGTGACATCAAGCAGAGTATGACCTCCAGCTACAAAATCCTGGGATTCTCCCCCAAACCATTTTGTCCCAGGCTCACCCAACTGATAACACAGCATGCTGATATGAGATGATCCTTTATGACCAGCCTGGGCTAGGCATGGCCATCTGTCTACAGGGAAGCAGAGGCCAAAGAGGTGTGTTGTATATAATCCCCCATTTTGATCATCCCTGAAAGCCATGACCTCAACCTTTTGGATCCCCTTTCCCCTCTTATGGGTCACTGCAGTTGGCCAACATGCAAGTAGGCTCAAATGTATGAGGCACCTAGCAGCCTAATGCTAGGCCCATGCAGAGGGTGTTCAGATAGGTCTACAGTGTTTTATCGTAATATCTTAGACTTTGGTGAACTACCTACATTATTGTGAGAATCAGGATTTATTTAATTAATTAGTATAGGAAATATATTTAGTTTTTCAAAGTTATTTACAAAAAGGGAAGATACAATATCATATTTTCAGTAGAAAAGGAAATCAACTTCTTTTCACACAAAACCTTATCTACAAATTTGACATCCAGCAGATTCTTTTATGCAATTGGAAAGAAAGGACAATAAAAAGGGTGATTTTCCTGCCATTTGGGGCAGTCTACAGAATAACAGATTTGCCATAAGAGACTGGCAGTCCACAAGAATTTGAGAAAGTGCCATAACAGTCTCTCGTCCACAGATTTAACTTGTGTGCCATAAGTTTCTGCCTTAAACTTCTCCCCATCAGCCGAACATCCACTGTAGTTCTGCATCAACATTTTGTTGTCAATACAAGAGTGACTCCAAATCTACAATGAGGTAGTATAAGTTTTATTAATGTAAACTCTTTCTCTTGCAAGGTAACTAGAGAATAAATGTTGCTTGCTTGATTGTACTTTGTTTATATTTCATCTTAATTAAATTTTGATTTGTTGATTTATCATGGTCTCATCTCTGAACTCATTTCTGTGCCGAAATCCTATCGCTTACCTATGGTCCCTCCATCTCAGAAGAGTTATCTAAATTTCACAGAAGCGTGCCTAACACTAAATTTTCGGCTGGTGTTGGGAGCCTGACAAGACCAAGATTCTACGATCTTGTAGTCTACCTTAATTTTAATATAATCTCCATCCTACGACCCTGCATGTGGATCTTCCAGATCCATAGCTGAATAAGCAGTAGAGAGATTATACTTATCTACTCCATTTCTTCACATTATTGTCCACCACTGACATCAGTGTCAGATATCGTGGCATGTGATGAAAAAATATCCCTGCACGCCCCAAACAGTTGTTTGAACAACTGTTTGGGGAGTGAAGGGATATTTCTAAATATTTCCCTTTGATCCTTTACAAATTATCTTTAAATCAGATCATTTTTAAATCATTCATTGTATCATTACACAAATTTATTTAATTGAAGTGTATATTGTGTAATTCCAAAATTTAAGTTTCTCTTAGTTTTTGATAAATATTTCCATTATTATACATTTTGCAATATAATATATTCAAATTGATTATTTTTATTATTACTACTGTTAAATTTGCAAAATATATTATAATATATTTTCCAAATAATACATATATAAATATTTAGGTTAATTTTTATACCTGCTAATATTTTCTGATACTTCTTGAAAATAATCATCTTCCATCTTAAAAAAAAATCAATAAATATTTAATATTGTGGCATATAAAAAATACATTTTATATTAAATCATAATTTATTAACTCAAATACTAATTTATATATACCTATGTATAATATATTGAAAATAATAATTAATTACTTTTAATTATGTAAGATTATTCTTCAGTTGAGATATAATAAGAATGTTAAAAATTAACAAATCTATTTTTCTCATAAAAACTCATAATAATAAAAGTATTAATATTTTTTCACTTATTTGTTTAATACATGGCATATTTTATACTAAAATAATGCTTATACAATTATAGTAAAAAACATTACCTTTGAACCAATAATTATCATCCAACAATCTCTATGTTTATCATGCCATTCTGTAAGATTGTAAAATTATTATAAATTAATAAAAAAATGATAAATCTAGAATATTTAATACTAGATAATTTAATTTATCTGTGAATTTAACTTTTCTGTTTATTTTTCATGAATAAATATATATATGTTCATATTTTCTTAAGACAGAAATTAAAATCAATGATCAAATATAAAATTTAGATAAAACAATGTACATAATAGAACTATTATAATTTTGGTTAATTACAATTTAACACCTATTTTAAAATCCAATGGAACATCCACACTCAAGGTCTAGGTCTATTCCATATGTTTGAATTTAAAGATGAATTAATTATTAAGTGATTCAAGAGCATCATTTATGTTTTATTATGCAAGAACATCTGAAAAATGTGAAATGAAATAAAAAATGAAACCACAAATTATCACTATATCAAAACTGAAAATGAAGTTTTGTCAAAAAAGTTAATAAAGTTGACTTAATGCAATTTTCATACATAAAAACAGAAAATAAATGATCCTTCCTCTTCCTTATTGGTGAACTAAGAAAAACAATTTCTCCCTCTCCTATATTCAATTCAAGTACAAAATGGTTATAATTAAACTGATCTTTACTCAAGAGCCCACTGGGGCTGGTTCTAATAAACATATGTTGATGAAACTTCATATATATGCTATTCATCCATGGGGAATTAATTTCTGTGAAACACTTTTACCACTAGGCAAAAATATGATGTTTCACGAACAAGCACAGTGATGTATTGTTATGTAAGTTACTGTAGAAAACAACGTGTCTGGGCTATAACAATCTCTGCCTCAGATGAAGGCCAGCATAAAACAGCATATCACCAATATTCCCACCAAAATGCTTCATGTGTCAATTGATCATGCCACATCATGTAATTAATATAAAAGGTTCACATATTGAACACATGCTGTAAAATAAAGTGTAAGATAGCATTTTGCTTTACTGATTTATTGTTGTTGTTATTGAAGCACCATATTTTTGCCTACTGGAGAAAATTTGAACTAATTTTTGTTTTCTAGAAATTTATTCCCTGTGATGTGAAAAGCATATACTCCAAATTCATCAACCTATGTCCATTAGAACTGACCTAACAGGCTCTAAGTATGGTCAGTTTAATTATAGCCATCATGTACATTAATATTTAAATTTTCAACTAAAAAGTTAATCCATGTTTTTAGACATGTTGACTATTTGAAATAAAAATAAATGGTATATAACAATCAAGCTATAACCTTGAAGTCTTTTAAAAATTTTATTTTTTTGAAACTATTTCTGAATAAAATTTATAACTAAAGTTATATATCCTATGGCAAACTAAAAATATATATTACCTGAAAAGTCTTTCACTAGAAAGAGTGGATCTTTGACACGACGAACTCCAAGCACAAGTAAAAATATTTTATCTACCAATATGTTATAATTTTTATCAAGATAATTCTTCAAATTAAATCTACTTGGATTTGTATATACAGCTATATAAAATGATAAAAATTAATATTAATAATTTTCTAAAATTATTACAATGAAAAAAAATCAATATTGTATATATATCTTGATTTTTTCATATATAGTTGATTATTCTGGGGATATATATATCCCCAGAATAATCATAACTTATATTTAATATGAAAAATTATAGACAAAGAACTAGTAATTATATTATAGTAATTACAAAATCTAGAAATAATAAAATTATATTAGTTTTTATAAGTAAACAACGCCTTTTTAACAGTCCAGCAAAAACATTTAATTCTCTAATAATGTTTTCGACCGATTTTAGCGGCCTTCATCAGTTACTCCAATATCAAAAAGAACAAAATATTCGAAATTTAGTAGAAATTTGGAGTAACTGATGAAGGCCGCTAAAATTGGTCGAAAACGTTATTAGAGAATTAAATGTTTTTGCTGGACTGTTAAAAAGGCGTTGTTTACTTATATTATTTATTTGATTTAGTTCCAGTAAGATTTTTTGATTATACTGTATTAGTTTTTTAATGAATAAAATATAAATTAAAACTATGTAGGACAGTATAACTCTGAGTAAAATAAAACATAACAGTACCAGCCAGAATTTTCTGCTTTGATAAGTTTCCATTTTACAGAGGATGTATATTTTCATTAATGCATAAAATAAGGTGAGAAAAGTCAAAAGATGTTACATTTCATATTTATAATTGCTATTCCAGTATAAGTGATATACATTTCAAAAATGTAGAAAACATTGAAATGTATATGTAATGCACAGAGGAGGAAAAGCCATAAAAAAAACCAACACACACATAGTATTTTAATTGCCTCATTCCCAAGGTACAACTTACTAATCAGCACTTCAATGGTAGATCTTGCTAAGAGCAGGCAGTAAAGTGCATCTGGGCCAAGGACTTTAGAAAGTCTGATTGGTTAATAAACTTGTTAAAAATATAAACTTTGTGGGACTTTATAAATAATTTTTGCACTATGACCTGTGACACTTATTCTGTTACTGCAGCATTTTATTAGTCTAACTTGATGATAATTGATGATTTCAAAATTTTCAATTTTCATATAAAAATTATTCTTATATTGTTTATTACAGTGATGTCTATTAATTTTTACAGCAGATCTATTTCTTTTATATCATCATCAACTTTATTTGCAATCTGAATGTTGCAGACATAACTTTATACAAGGCATGTTGCTGTAAGCTTCCAATTTCTTTACATATGCTTTTTAATCAATTTGATACTGTACAGTGCATGACTACTATACTGTATTCAGTTTAACTGAAAACCAGCAAAATGTTAATGAACATATTATTATAATGTGTTTATTATAATGTTATATGTAATGTGTTATACGTGTACTCAACACACAATGCTGAATATACATATATTGTAATATTTATTTTCCAGATGTACTATATACATATGATTCACAAAATTTATAAGTACACATGTTTTGAGTGCACTGTTCTCACATTGGCCTGTTGAGAAAAAATACATCAGTCATGCACATTACAAAACATATATACTAGCTTTAACAAAGCAATATTCATTCAGCACAATACAATGCATACTAAGAGATTTTATAAAATAGAATTTAATTTTTTTACATTAATGTATATCACACATTTTGTATATTTCTTAAAACATCCACATAATACAAGAGTAACTGGATAAGGTTAAATAAATTAACATCAACAACATCAAAAATCCAGCAAATAAAAGTAATTTAATGTAAAAACAAATGTTTTCTACCATTTACTACAGTCATCATCAGGTTTAACAGAGTTGCATAAAAGAATAAAGTAAGAATGGAACACAAAATTTAGACCTTGTTTAAACAAAGTTTTGGAAAACTCCACTCACTTAACAGTCATGGAAAATGGTAAAGACATTAAAAATCAGGAAGTAAAAAGATGTCTTAGGTGATGTCAAAGAACAATTTCCATTCAGAAGAGATGGATTCTGTTTCTTTAAACTTGTTCATATGTAGGGAAACACCTGTGTTCAACTTGTATAAGAATGACGTTTTTGCTCATATTTTGCATAAATATGGCATATTACTTTCCCGACATTTCAAAAAATGTAATTAAATGCAGTTGTAAATAATAAAACAACTCAAAGCCGGATGCATATACAGAAATAACCAGTGATTGCCTTAAATATCAGGTTATAATCTGGCTAAGATTATAACCTGATTATTAAGGCAATTGTTTGTTATTTCTAAATGCAGTTATGCTAAGTGTATTAAAAGCAAGTTGAAGTTGTGACAAAGTGATTTGCAAGTCTGTTTTGGTATACAGACTCATACATGAAAGCTCAGATCAAAGGTTTGTTTTGTTATTTCTTTTAGATTTGAGTTTTGTAGGCTTAAGGAATTGTTGTTGTTGAAGTTTTGCCTGTCTAAAATATTACAATTATTGTGAATATTTTCAAACAAAATCCAATTTAAAAAAACATGCTTTTTAATTTAACAATAGCTATAAAAATAACAATAATAATGACTTCTTTTATTATTATAATTAGTAATTGTACTTTTTAGTAAAATCGTTCTTGTTAAATTCAAATAAATTTGAATTTTGAATTTTAGATTGGCATGTTTTTTGCTAGTGATGTCAAATGTCACTATGTGATGTAACACAACATTGGAATACAACATGCAAATCAATACATGGGTTTTTAATGTATAAATACCACTGAATATAATTAAATAAAAATTTCCACTTACTACCTCACATTCTGTAAAAAGTAATATCAAAATTCCAAATATATTAATGGAAATATACAGAAACACTTTTGTATAAACAAATATACATGAATGATGAATGTATAAATCATATCAGTTTTCTAGTTTTAGTTTGTTATTCATGTGTTCACTATACAAAACACATAATTCAAAAATCAGGAAATAAACAAAGTAATAATATTTTTAGATGTTATTCAATAGCAAGTTCAATTACAGAACATGGTGAATAATTATATTAATGTTTATTGTATATAATCCATCTTAACATTATAAATAAGATAAACAGTTAATAAATATTTAATTTAATAGTAGAGTAGGTTTTTCATTAAGTCTAAATAATTGTTTTCATATAAGATTATTTTAAATATTCTGTTTTAGTAAAATTTCTAATAATAGTAATTAGAGTAAATTGCAAAACTTTGCACTATTTTCTTCTTTATCTTTAAAAAACTTGTTAAACACAGAATGATAAAAGATAAAAATAAACTTACAATATACTGGTACTTATCTTTGTTTTTTACATATTTTAAATATTTAAAAAAGTTATCTGCAATTATTTGGACTAGAAAAATATCTGATAAAGTAATAAATATTTTATCACCTACACAATAATTGTTAAATAAACTTTTATATTATTAATTATAAAATTAGCTTAATTTTGAAGGTAGAGACGAGTTTTATAAAAAATTTCAATGATAATAGTGACCCCACTTGAGATATGACAAGTGACCTTCTTCTATATTCTCACCCACTCAACCTTTAATTGCCAAAATTTAATAGCATCAATCCCCCTAATCCAGAAACCTATCTACAAAATTTCAGCAATTTTTGATAAAAGGCATAGAATTGCTAAGTTTCAAAGTAGGTGAACAAACTAGTGCTCCTTACACACTTTTTGCATTTCTTGACATTTCAAGGTACAGACTCTAAAAATGTAAAAATCTTGGGGAGTCATTTTTGACCAATCACTATATATATATATA